AGAGGACGCGTGGTGGTTGCGGTTCTGGTTTGCGTCCATTTTATATATTTCCGTTGGGAAATTGCGCTTTCGAGCAAATAAATGGGTAAACGTTCGGTTTTCTACGTACATCACCCTCTGTATACATAATACGTATACGCGTTCCCGAGATATGTTTAGGTAAACTCATCATGAACTAGGGCGATTCTTTTAACCCAATAGATACATTACAGCTATGATTTCGAATATTAATTACCTGCATTCGTATATACAAATGGCATCTTCGTCTAATATTCGTGTTGACAAAATTAATTAAGTAATTCCGAAATGCGATATAATTTGCTAATGATGGCATTTGAGTATGAAAATGCCAGCATACGTACCGCTACGAGTTCCTAATTCGGTAGGTAGATGTTTTCGAGAATATTTGCTAATTTGAAGCTAATTATTTGATTGTAAACAAATCTGTTAAAGCTTGACTAGTTTACTTGCCTGATTGCATCGAGTTAGCGATTCATTTGCGCTCGTCATGCTCCTAGTCGAAACGTTGTTTTACAATGAATGCTCGAAAGTTATCTTCCTAAAGTACTTATAATAGTTTCAAATAAACTGATTCGCTTCCTCAGCGCTTTCTTTAACGTTAAAGACGCATATTTAACTTGACAGTTTTACATTGTTTTTGTATTGACATTGATTAGCGTTTAAAATAGCACTGAATACGGGGCATATTATACTTAAGTGACATTTTTACGGTGTTAATCGAATTTCCAATGTTTGAAAAATAAAAAAACCCAGTACAGGTGTACATTTGACGTTGAAAAATTCATACACAAAATGCAAATAGGATAAACGGCGGGCGCTGAACAACTAAAATCTCTGTTGTGCTGACAATGGAATAATGGTCACTTTTGACCCGACGTTTTTCTCCGATTGTGTCAGTCACAAATATTTATCAACCAATACGGTCAAACTTTAATGGATCGCTGCAAATATTGTTTGATAAAACAAAACATAAAACATAACAGTCTTTTTTACAGCGATATGAAAACTGCGAACAAGCATAACGCAGATTTATGTCGATATTGTTGATGCTAGCCACTACATGGCTTTGATTCTAGGGAAAAAGAGGACTGAAGGAAATGGCTTATTAACCGAATAGATGAAGTGCGCTATATGTATATGGACCACCATAAGCACTTTTTTCAAAAAAAGTCGAATTTTAAATTTTAATCAGCTTTATTTATATTAAACAATTCCTTAACCATTTTGTTAAGAAAAAGTCGTAATAAAATTGTTTAAAACAACAAAATCTCTGAAATAAACAACATTTCCTAAAGTATATCATTTTGATGAACTTTCAGAAAGTGAACATAATATGGATCACATCCAGATTTTTCCATTTCTAGAATATAATTGACTAATTCATCTTCCAATTCACTCGATAATGTTGATTGTCTCCAAAGTTTTTGGGTGGTGATATCATTAAGTGATTTGTTTTGGGTGTATGTTTTGGAAGCATTCAATATTATAAGACCGGTCCATATTTGGCGCACTTACTCTATTATTTAAATCCTTTGCAAAGCGATTGACGAAAAAAAGGGCCACACGTTTAAAATTCAACGCTGCGATAATGCGAGCAAGAAGCCTCCGAAAATAACGACCAGCGTCAAATTTTATTTGTTTTCGCGATTTGCTCTCTATTTCCGGGCCTCGAAGTTTATCAAATACACCGGCTTAAATTTTATTATTGAATTTGAATCCCCGCAGAGTGGATTGCAGCGACGTCGGGCGTCGCCATTATGCATCGCTGCGCCCGTTTTTCACGCTGCAAACTGAAATAAAAGAATAAAGGAAATAGCGAATCTGGAGGGTATGGTCAGTATTCGCCGATTCGCAGGAACAAAAATTTGCTTTGTTGTTTGTAGACAACAGTGAAAATAAAAATATTTTCTTTGAGGAATTTTACAATGAAATGTTACGTTGCACTTTTGTTTAATGCCAGCACAATACAAAGTAACAATTCACTATTTGCGAGACTTAACATTTCTTTTATTCTAAAGACGCAGATATATGGTGAGAACTCTGGAGCAATAAGAACATTATTAGGTACCTACTTGTTCGTTAAAATTGTATCTAATAAATCAAATTGGCGGCTTTATTAAATCAATTTGGTGTACTGGAGCACAAAGTGAGCGATTCAAAAAAACCGGTGTTCCTAAGACACGCATCCGTCTGTTGATCTTCCCAACTTCCAACTTGTTGTTTGATAGTTAAAAACTTTTCGTGTCCCAGTTGAAAAATCGAGGTAGCTACGTGACGGAGTTGTTAAATCGAGCGCCGCCGAACTTTGGGCATCGTCCGGGGAGTTCCGAGTAGGTATTGGGGGACCTCCACCTTGTTTCTTATCTTTATTTATTGCGTTTGTAGTTTTTTGTGCAGTCGGAAGTTGCGATAAACAAGAGTTTAGGGGCCAGTGGGCACGGGCGCGTATTCGTCTTCGCTGCTGTATCGACGGAAAAAAAATCGCATTACATGCTTGAGGGACGGGAAAAGGACACAGTTTGAGTTCGACTTTTGATTTCTTCAACTGTAAAGGAAAACGCGACGGGAATTTCCGATAGCCTATAAAGTATATGACAATTTTATAACGCGTTGGGCGGCTGTAGACGGTGTTTATTTTTCTCGATAAATAATCGAAATGTAATTCAGTTAGATTTTTTTTCCTCCTTATTCGCTTAGAATGTAGATCATCGCACTTTTGTCCGGATAAACGAACAGTTCAGTCGTGCAGGGGTGGATTTATATGAAGACGGCTCCTCGGAGAATAGGTGAATATTCCTAGAGGGATAGGGAGCGTATGGGAAATCGGAGGGTGGCGATTTGCCACTCCCGGCCAATCCTCTAAATGGACATCAATCAAACTAGGAATCAAAGGCCCTATCTCCGGAGAGACTTAAAATAATTTGCGATAACTGATGAACTGCGAAACTCGAATTCGACAAAAAATTATGTTATTGAATCAGAAAAGTGACGAGTGACGCCGTTAGAGGGGATGTGAGATGGGGTTGAATTAATTTACTGATTAATTCAATAAACACATCGAGATAATCTAATAATAAAAGAGAGCTTCACAACATAATTTGTAATATAACTAATTTAACTTTTTTATAGTTAAAATGCGGGGAAAGGTGGAAGTTTGAATCATGAGGAACAAAAAAAGTTTGCTCGTGAAAACGAATTGTTTCTATTTATCAAACAGACGGTTTCCTAGATCACGATGGAAAAATCAGAAAACTACGGATCGAATGGATATGTTCAGAAAAATCCCTGATGGCGCGACCTTTTCCCAAATGAAACAATTTATTCCCAGACGATCGGAAATAAATTTAAAATGATTTCGTAGGTGATTCCGGTAATTTTTCTCCTTCGGAATTTCTTATTAAATTGGCGCTCGGCTCGGGGTTTTGGTTTTCTTAAAAACCACGGTATTATGAGGCCTTTTGAACGGAGTGTTTGTTGCAAATTAAACGCACATTCCGGAATCTAATTTGTCTCTCCAAAATAAACAAGTCGGGTGAGGGCAAACGGGCACCCCCGAGCAGATACAGATACTTTTTTTTATCAAGTTTGCACAAGAGAATACGCTCTCGCCATATCAAATTATGAGTGTTTGAGTAATGACTACGCCGTATCACCAAAACATTTTCATACAGGGATTCAAATCTTTTGTAATTTTTCAACGTATTCTACGCGTGAAAATAATAAATCAAAAATCCGCAAAATTACACATACGAATAATATCTATTGTGTAGGCAGTTTATTTAATACCATGAATAAATCAGGAATTTTCCAGATTAGTTAATGAAGAAGAAGCAGAAGAATTTTGCTTAAATATTGAATTATTAAGCGTAAGTATTAAGTGCACCGAGTCGGAATATACATTATTTATAAAAGTGCCATAAATCAACGAAAAAAATAAAAAAGTATATACTCCGGAATGGCGCTGTGTTTTCGTAGGTCGTCGACGGTAATTGCGATGGCACGTGAATATTTATGAATTACGGGGAATGGAAAATGTCCAAAGTAAAGAAACGAGGCTAAATAATTCTTGAAATCGTTTTTATCGCACAGGCACCAGTAATTAGAGGTGCTTAGTTAGGTACTGAAATAAAATGTGTTTATCAGAACTGAATTCTTTTACACTTCTTTCGCGACCTACTTTTTTAATTCGTCGAGGAAAATAGTCACGATTAATCAACTATTTCTCTCCTGCTCCCGGTAATCTAATATTTATCTTAAATCAGGATAGTCCGCCTAATTCTTATTCAATCTCTTTGCTGGCTTCTTGAATTCAACTCCAGTTACCTTGCTTTAAGTAATCCTTTTTTTATTATTTCGAATGGAAGTCGATTTCTGTTCTTTATTAACTTCGTTTACTTAATGAATTGTGAAAGGATGAAAAATTTAACGAACTCAAAAAAAACATACAAATCGAAGAATCGAAATTAATGAACATTATTTATCTTGAAAAGTCGGATAAATTGTAATGATTCATTAAAAATTGTGTCTGTAAAGTTTTACATGAGCGCGATAGTTTTGATTTCAATTACAAACGATAAATCGCTTAAATATTTTCGCAATTCCTTTATCTCTCTTTAAGTCGATGCTTAACGTACTGAAAATTAAAAAGAACAACAAAAATAAGCGAGAAAATTACTCATTGCTATATTTCTAAGCGAGGTATTCCATCCAACGACGGTGAGTATTTTTAAAATTAAATTCCTCCGGCCATTCATGCAATAAACTAATTTTACGTTCCCCTATAAATCGGAATTCAAACCACTCCGTAATTTTGGTCCGACAAAAGGCATTGAAATATTTATTTTTCTCCGCCTCATTAAACCTAGTTTTCATTATTTCGTTTCGCTTAAAATATAGTAACGATTTTTCGGCGCAAAGTACTTAGAATGTTTCTAATTCTCTATTAACGAGGACGAAAATGAAAAACGATTTAGTGAGTAGTTTTAATTTTCTATTTAACACTATTCGTGCTAGCAGGAGTCCCATCGGATAAGTCTTCAGGAGTCTCGTATTCTCCTCTATGTTTTAACAAGTATAATGCGAATGCTTTCATTGCATTAGGCGGTCTCGTCTTGGCAATGTGGTTAAGTGCTGTTATCAAAATCGGCACTAATACCAAATCTAGATATTCCCTGTAAAAACAGCAATTTTCATAAGGAGTACGACACTTACGCGCGAATATGGTATAAAATATGCAATGTTTTTATAGAACAAAGTAATCTAACGAGTTCAAGCGATATTACCTTGTTGGTAGAGCTCGCAAGGTGGCATAAGGTATTCGTGAAATGTGCATATAATTGTCCGAATCCAATCCCCTAATGATTCTGCAGTAGTTTGTATCGCCGACCAAATCACAGGCTTCCATCGTTATCACATCACCATTACTATTAAATTCGTTTTCCTTGCCATCGGGCTGGCATTCCTCTATGTACTTACCCTTTATCTCCTTTATCTTCGTATTGAACATATTTCCCTAATTTTCAACCTATTTATCGAAAATTTCATAAAAAAAAATTAAAACGGGAAACGAAAATTGACGTTCGACTAATTAAAACGTCATCGGAATGGATTATGCGATTCGGACGATGAGTGACATCGGACCCAATAAATCAAATAGTTTATGCAATCAATCAACAGGTTTCGAAGTTAATTTTTTATTATCCTATCGATTTGTTTAATCTCGCTGTTGGTTAATTGAACTAAGAAGAAGCTTATGAAATACATTTCTAAGATGGAATATGTGGAAATAGAACCTCTTGATGTAAGTTTGTCAGGAGTGAGGTCGTTTCGTTGACTCGTCATCAGTTAATTGCACGAACGTGTCAAACGTGATCTGCATACCCACTTGAAGAGCAAATAGTAAATGACGTTGGTCGTGGAACAAACTAAGCTACTTAACGAATTCGCCCATTTTCTTGCCAGACAAGCAACGCTCGGTGCGAGACGTCAAAAATTCGGGTAATCCCCGCCTCGGCAAATGGCTTAGTTAAACTTTCAAAGAGGACAGCTCGACTGATTGAAGGGGGAAATTTTTCCAATTTCCATTTAGCGACTCATATACATTTTAATTTACTTCGTTACTTCGATGTGCATAGACGCACTTATAGGGTGTAGTAACGTTAATTTCGCTTTAATAACGCGAAGCAAAATCGACTTATGGTACGTTAGATTTCCTTGAGAAAAGCGCTGGGTTTCGGAGACTATACTGTTTCAATCCGTAGCCGGATTATGAGGATTGCGAATTTAGTCTGAAGCCGGAAATATATCTACCATTAAAATTGAAATTAACTAGCGTATAAAGAAAGAGGCTAAGTATTTACTTTAATTAGAGAAGAACGATTGTTCATTGTGACAGCGTACGGAGCTTTTCCGAAATGTTTGCTAACTCTAATTATCTTTTGTGAATTCAAAAGACGGCGAATTCGCGCAATTACATGGCTCTCTGTGAGAGGTGTTCAGTCGCGACGGGTATTTAAATATACTTTTTGCTCAACGGCGAGGAAATACTAGTAATGCAATTCTTTAAATCGCTTAGCGCAATTTACACATAATAATCTAATCGGCCTTCTTCCGGCTCGCGCAAAAAAATAATGGATATACATACCTAGGAGAGAACAAAGCGGTTTGTAGAGTAGGAAACATATCCGACTATAAAATATTTATTACTCGAAGGACTCGTTCCGAATCATTTAATGGAAATGTATTACAAGTTAAAGTATCTCCATGAAATATAAGGGTATAAATTTACTTCTCAATTAACGCCCTATGAATAAAATATTAATCACTTTTTTGGTCGATTTCAATTACATAACTCTACTCTACTTTCTACTCCCCAATAGTTATACAGCTAATTAAAAATAAACCATTTCTACACCAAAATAATTAAGTTTACCCTCAAAACTTGTGACGGTTAGCTGGTCCTACCAATTTTTTTCAAGCAATATAGCCTTCACGAGATATTTTTTTCTCGAGTTCGCCATTTCATTCGCGAAAAAAACCAAGCAATTTATTAAACAAACCTTCAACAACTCTGATATATTACAGTCGTTTGGCCGCGGAGCGCAAATCCCAAGAAAAAGTTATTTAAACAAACTCCAATTCCGTAAATTTTTCCAATTTACATTCGTCTAGCCTCCGTCCGTATGAAAATTATTCATGAAAACGAATTAATTTTCTTCGCACTTCATTTTGCTGATCATAAAAATTAATTAAAAGCCCCGTTCCGATAGGATGTTTTGACAGTGCTTTCTCTTTAATTAAGAACTTTTTCAGCGGGAAGTTCGAAAGAAATTGAAGCAAGCGGTTTAAGAAAACTGAAACGGATTTGTCGTTTTTCTCCTGTAGGGGAACGCCGATCTGATTTTATAAGTAAATTTATTCGAAAGAATGATTTAATTACTTTTATTATGCCATTAACAATACCCAAAGATTTGTTAACAATCCTTCTCTATGTAAATTTTTATTTAATATCTGATGGCTATTTATTTTAATAACTGATTTATTCACAAAGTATTGGCGGTTTTCGTTAAAATAATAAAATTGTGATTTTAAAATCGGCCTATACATTTATTTTTCTTTGTTCCCTGTTATACAATGTTTTTGTAAAACAAACATAGGTCTAACGAATGTAATCAAAAACAGCGTATTCTGTATACATAGCCCGGAGATTTTGGGGTCTCGAAACGTGATACATGACCCATCTAGTATAAAAAGGAAGATTTATGCCCTATGGGAAATATCATCAGACGACATATAATTCGGGATGATAGGAGATTGAAAGAGAATGGAATGACGTATATGGAAAAGCTTTGACAAAAATCATTTTAATTTTACAATCAACAGGAAATTTATACTAATAAATTCTAAATAATGTAAATAATTGCGAGCAATAAAATTACACTCTTTAAAATCTCAAAAATGCGGCGATCGAAATTAAAATCTAAGGTCTGAGCCCGTGTAAATGGAAATTCAGAGGACACTTGCTGCCGTTTCTTGTGTCAGCTTGCATAAATTTTATTTAAACTGGCGAGATAAGCCAAAAACTGGGTGCCGCCGCTTCGCTTTCAAATCTAACGCTGTTATAAATATATCGAAAACGAAAAATTATCTCACGGTTAATTGCTAATTTGCGTATTTTTTATTCCCCGAAACTCGCGCGCTAAATTATCTTTATTGCTAGTTGCGCGTCGAAGCAATTAATTGTTGATAATGCCGTAAACCGGAGAAAAAATATTTTCACTTGCATTGAACACGTCAACAAAGCGCATAAATCCCGAGGATCCCACTCTGGATGTGACGCATCCTTTGTGAAGGAGGTTCCCCTACGTTTGCCGTTGAACTTTGTGTGTGGGCAATAAGGAACGACTACTCAACACCCTCCTTCGGCATTAAAAAGTAAAATCGATTTTAACATCCGAAATTGGACATTTCTTTGCATCAAAGAGGTGTTTGCCTATATGACAAATGTCTCTTAAAAAAACTGGGCCTGTTTAGTTACGAGCTCAACAGGTAAACCCATGAATTTGAATCAAATTTTCCCATTCGATGGGTTTGATAAATTGGCAACGATGAAGAGAAATTGGCGTACGTTAGAAAAGCCACAAATGACTTACGAGCATTGTTTATACTTATACGATTAACTGAAGCACAAGACACAATAATACCAATCAAACCTCCATCCAAGTTTAGCGTAAGGATAGTTAGAATTCCAGCTTTGAGCCAAACCCCTTTAACTTGTTGAACGAAAATCAAACTAATAGAATTCGAATTAAGTTCGAATTATTCAATAAGCTCGCGTAAAGCGCCCAACTAATTGAAATAAAATAATAGTTGCATACGTTTTGTTTATCTACCATCGAACAAACAGCGGCAGCATAAACCCTATTTCCCCCAGACCTTTCTGCTCGAGAATATCGTCATTTAACGCATCGAAGGTTGACCAAAATCGCTGGGGCCCCAAACATCAGATCATCATCATTAAGCAAGGTATATATGAGGGGTGAAGGTTTTTTCCCGGGGTGGTTTATAGCTTACTTTGATTAAAATTGTTGAAGTATTCCTCGCACAACAGCGAAAAGGGGATGTTGAAGGATGCGTTATCGCAGAAACCATATTTTTTTTAAGCTTAAAGGGGACGCTCGAAGACTGGAATTTATGTGCAAGGGTAGTTATTTGTAAATTCGAATGTCACGCTGTCGTAATTAAAGGGTGCATTCGGGTATGTTGTGGGGGTAAATCCGATTAATTTTTACACTCAATGAAACATTTATTATTTATACGAAACTTTTATAGTGGAAACTAAACACTTGCAATTGCAAATTTCCTGTATCTAAGTAAGAGGATCGAATTCAAGTAAATTGCGAAATTAAATAGTGTTTCCTGCAGTGACTATCAATCATTCATGTGATAATTACTGGGCGGCAGATGCCCCGTAAGGGATTTAAATTTAGGGTTAGTATATCCAAAGGGGAAGCGATCACTTGCAAAGTTGGATTTTATTAGGGAGAGGGATGTCAGTTGAAAAGGGTTTTTCGGGTATTTTTTAATTCAACAGGAAGATCCACCTCCAAATATCCGTTTTTCGAAACAACGATATTTTTAACGCTTGAAATAATTCATAGTATCCTGAATTTTTTTTGTTTTATGAAAACAAAAAAATCAAAATTTTAATGGATACAAATACAGCAAAACAAGAATCAAATGAGAGGAGAACAATAAGTTATTTTTCTACCTTCAAATTACGTTCCTCCGTAAACAAACTTATTAGTTTACAGACGCAATTAAACACCCGAGCTCTGCAAACCCAACGCCCTTCACCAAGTAATGTAAATTTAACTTGCTAGTTATCTACTAGTCGCGCTAGTTACCTTTATCCAAAAGGACCTTCCACGCCGCTTTTCTCTATATTAGCGCTACACCAAGATAAACATCCCAAAAATTAGAGCAGAGCTTTTGTTGACCATTAAGTACAATCCCCAAAAAAACTATTGTTTCGAAACATAAATATTTCCTGCAACACATAACAAATTACAATTGCAGGACATAATTAATTTGTAATATCTATAGTACATATGAATAAATAACACTAATCAATAAATAGAAACAGTTCCATATTTTTCATCCTAGATATCGTCGCCCCACTTTAATTAGCGATTATTTATGAGGGGCGATGCGTCTTGGCGATCCCACGTAATTGGGCCGGTAGCCCTTCGTGTCTGCGGCGAAAGGGCAAACGCCGCACCGACGTTTTGATTCTAATTGCAAAGGTACACAGGACGAACGATCCGAGATTCCGTCCGACTTTGCTATCGTTAAGGGCTGCGGGCGCCCGCCCTTCGGGAATACCGAATAGCAGGGCGAGAGATTAAGGTGCTAAATGCGTGTCAAAATCAGCGACGTAGCCCGAGAGAGGGCCGCGAATCTGTGTGTGTTTCCAGACAGTTTTATAGGATTTCGCGAGAGCTAAATAAGCATTAGAGGATAAAAGCGCTAGGGGTTTTCATAAAGCCAGTTTTGTGGTAAAAATAAAACCATTACAGTAGACAATTTACAACAATACAGCTAATGAATTATTAATAATCGATACTCGATTTGAATATGTAAGTGATCACCCTCACGCGATGGTTTATTTCGCGAATCGCCCCGATGGAAAATAGATTCAATGAAACTTATGATTTCGGTGAAACCGTAAACATGACTCTGCGATGTACAATCCCTTCGAGGAGAGAATAAGATGCACCGGTTTCCGAGACGATAAATTCGATTTCAACTCGAACACGCGATACACGTCTAGTCTAATAATAAACGGCGTAATTACACGTTAACTTATTCGGTTTCTCCCGTGCATTCATAAAAGAAACTCCCGCCGATGGGGCGTAATTAAATTTACGCTAAAATTCGCGCGCTGGAATAATTTCGTAAGCTGGCGAGAAAAATCCGTGGGCGTGTAAAAGATGGAATATTATTCTATCCGCGGCTCTTCGCGAATTTAATTCGAATTCAATTAAAGCGACAATAAATGATACGCACTCGTGTGTTCCTCGCGTAAATTACCGAAGCAACGATGAAGTCGAATTTCACCATAAATCTTGAAGGTTTAAAGGCTCCTCGGCTAACAAATGAGCAAATGTCGAACAAAGATTTTACTCAGCCCTTAGAGGCAAAGGGTTGCTGAAAACCTTTTGTCCTAAATCTCGATTGAAAAGGATATATGTCAAAACGTAATTGCGAATCGAATGTTTCATTTCCCCCTGCATTTATCAGATTCGGGGAGCGAAAAAAATATGAGGAAAATTTTATACTTAGTTGGAAACTATAATTTTATTTTATGTATAAATCAATGATCAGATTGGACCATATAATTTGTAATAGTCGAAACTAAGAGGAAACCATCTGCCTGGAATCCCCTTAATAGGCACAAAGGAAATGCAAATTCGGCTATAATCTACATATTAGCAATAATCTTGATTGGGATCAGCAGCATACGGAGGGAGCGATAACATCATAAATACATATTTACCATTATGAGGCGTTGAGAACGACGTTTAAAACAGTGGTGTAACAGATACACCCAATTTTTATTGTCTCATAAATACCTACTGATATTCTATTTCTAAATTCTATCCACAGAAAAATAGTGTTTAATTAGTAACTCATTAATTCAATTATAACGTGGAGAATTTAAATTGCAGGATTATTATCAGATACATGGCTACATTTGAGAATACAGTCGTCAAGATCTTCTGATGTATCAGGAAAAAACCGGCGGCGTTAAATTTGGGACGGAGCTCCTTGGCCCAATTAGTCAGTTTTCTGGCGTTTTCTTCCCCTGCTTCCACTTGTAAGTAAATGCAGGTTTGTATCAAGTCTTCGAAATAAACCTCGGATTTCTCGCAGGCTAAAATAAAAGTCAAACAGAAGATCTGAAAGAAAACGTTTTCGGTTAAAGCCCGCGGGTGTGCGTGAATTAATTATTTAATGCGATACTCACGGTGTTGTAGCACTCGATGGCGGAAGTCGCAATGAAACGTCTGATTCCAAACGTGGTTTTCATGTAGTGGCACACCAGTATCAAAATGTTTACCACTAGTAATATGATTCTGAAAAACAGGTAGCTTCCGAAAACTTTATTGAATTTTCCAATCAGTCGGCTCAATTCAGTTAACTCGCGGCCGACTATTAAGTCGTAAGGCTCGAATTTCGCGGGACACTTCAAATATTCCACCAGATTCTTGTATTTGAACGCGACAAATAGCACCACTTGCCACGCGATTAAGTTGTAAATCAGTACGTGGGAAATGAAAATAAAGTTAAACGATAGGTAAATAAGATCGTAGGGACTTTCGTCGCGATCTATAGTAAAATAAATGTAGGCTATTTCGGTGCCAAAATGAGTAATGGTAATTAGTGTTGCTGTAGCGTACTTACAAAAACTGCTAATTTTACTTTCGCTCCAGTCGGATTTTTTAATTAATTTTACAATGGTTTTCCATTCATCCAACTTAAAACAGTAGGCGACAATCATCGAGCACTGAGCGCACAAATTAACAATTACCGCAAAAATGTGGAGGAATAAATGAATGTTATCGGCACTGTCGCGATCGAGTAAATCGTAAGAATACTTGCAATACAAGAACGTCAATAATGAATAGTACAACACTAAGCAAAACTGCTTTACTATTTTAATTTTTAAACTATCTTCAGTAGGAATTATCATTATGTAGTTACCCAATTTATAAATTAGTAATAGAAGCGGTATTCTACTGTGATCAGACATGTTTTCTATTTCTCGGTACAACGAGAAATGATAAACAAAATTCAATTTCGTGTTACAGTTTTACACGACTCATTTCTTTAATGAAATGACATTCGATACAAATACCAACAGCATTTAATCCCTTTTAGTGCCCTTTATTGTTAATTGCAGGTAAGTACACAACTTTAATGATTAATTTATATCTAATTCCGTACAATTGTTTCTGCTAGTCTCGCAACTCTGCTCATTCATCAATAATATTTTTTAATTTTATCAAAGACCAGTTAGTAATGGAATACTGTATAAGCTTATCTACGCCTATATCTAAATATAAAGTGAGTAAACTGATCAAATGCTCAATGGGCTTCAAAGCTTTCGAATTTGGTGCTTGTATTGTTATGATTAATGTTCAATAGCTTATGGGAACTACATAGCTAAAATTCTTTCCAATTAGTGAGGAAATTTACTATTCCGCACGTGATACGCATGTGAAAGTGGCACAACCGGAGACAAAGGAATTATTATTGTAAATTAAGCTAGTGGTATTTAAGAAAAATAGGATCAGCCGCTAATCCCGTGAAGGTTGACACGGCACTGTCAATTCCGGCCGTACGTCATTTGACGTTTTAGAATCCCGTGACAAATACGGAAGCAAAGGGGGCGATGCTGACGTTGATGCTGTTTATTTATGGCTTTCTCTCGCTCGGATGCATCGCCAAAATTAATATCCTCTGATATTAAATCGGTGCAGTAAAGAGAAAGCGGGAGGTGGGAGTTCGATGTCATAAATTGTAGCGGTATCAGACGAGGCTTTTACTTCGAACTAATAGTTTTCAATGAGTTTGAAATATTCGCGGCAATAGCATTAAAATTTGAAAAATCGACCGATATTTTGTACTAAAATGGGATATGAAGTTGTATGTAAATGTCACGTCGATTATGGTATTCTTATAAACAGTTAAGACGTAATGCAATTGCTTTGTTAATTCTGTTACTCGTGTCTGTTGGAATTGTTCTTACAACATAACATGTTATATCCTATTTCTGGGTAGACTATACATAGGTTAATAAAATGTCGAACATACTATTAGGTCGCTTTACACGGAGGAAGTTCGGTGTAATTTTCATGCTATGCAAGTTTGCTGAAACAATATTAATAATCAATGTCTATGTCTACAGACAACTTTGGAGATAATTTCATGGCGTAAAATAAATAGATTATATACTCAAATTGTATTCTTGTCGTATAAATGCACTTCCAATGTTATCTGGAAATCTCGGATTCATGAATATATATGTTTTCTTAATAATTCAAGTCTTAAAATCGATTTTCCTCTGGATTAATTGCCGTTAAATTTCCTTTGTTAATTCGAATGCGGTAAATTATTAATGTAGTCGAGTTGAAAAAGCTCTCGATGACAATTATTTACTGGTCCTTTCGGGTTCGTGCGAAGCCACAAAACTCTAATTATAATAGAATACCTGCTATTAATAACGGAAATTTTATCACCTTTCGAGTTTCCTTGTTTTTAGAATAGTGTACCGATGTTAGTTTCAGGAATGATTTATGTTCAAGGTGTGGTTGTTTTTCGGTCGCCGCATTCACGAAACGCTTTCTTAATACCACACAGAACCTAACAAAGACTAATTTAGAGGATCAATTCAATGTTATCCTGTATTATACAGGTAAATGAACCGTATTAATTACACCATGAAAAACCATTTACTCTGCGTAGATTTTATAACAAAAATAACATCTACTATTATTTTAAATATTCAGCAGGTATTTGGTTTTTTGACGATAGTCGAAAACATTTCACCGTGTACCGCTGATTCAATTTAAACTTCGGTGATATGTTGTTTCAGTTGCGGTTCAATTGATTTTTCCTAATAAACAAAACATTTGTGCACTATTGGATATTGTGGAAATTGCATGATTGTAACTAAATTAATTTGGGCTAAAATTTAATCCGTTGCTTTGTCGGGTATTATGAAATGAAGCCATAACCATTTGTATAAAAATACATTGAAGTTGATCGACTGGAATCGATGATGTTAAAATAAATCACCGATTTGATAACAATTCAATCATTTATCGTTTGTAAAATATGATTACAGTAGCTCACTTCACTTTTGTTCTGTATAAGAATATATGATTTGTATGGTAGACGCACCAGTTTTTGCGATTATAACGGGGAAATTTTCTCGACGTTGAACCTCTCGAAAACCCGTACGCCGAAATACCGTGACGCATATAACGTACTCGAGGAAACCTATTTGCACTTGGAAAACGCTTTCTGTGTAGCGGCTCCCCTCAGTCCGTTTCATTACGAACAATATCAAAAATTCCTCCGCTCTAGCGTAACAAACAAGGGATAGGAGCGAAAATTTAAAGGGAACGCAGAGTGGCTACCCTCCGAAGGGCCGGGCAAACACGCCGAGTACCGGCGTAATATCTCTATTTTTCCATATCATTTAAGAAAACATTCGATGATCGTTTGATCGATTTATCTTTTGATAGCAAGATTAATTAATACGGTGCCGCTTTATTTACTTATTTTCTAATAAATTGGAGAAATTGAAGTCGGAACTTAAACAGCACTACAAACTAAACTATTGGTCAAGAGGGCTAACATGGACAATTTCCGAAGAAAGTTATATTATGTTACGATGCAATGTTGATTTTACTGCACACACAAATAGTACTAATAAAGTGTGTTAAGTTTAAGTAAATTTTAGTAGTGCGTCTTTTCATTTGGCAGATATCATCAAAGCGCATTTCAAGATCTAAATAAATATGCTACGGCTCGAATTAGGTAATTTACGAAGTAACTGCACCCCGCCCAGTTCTCTGGAGCAACTTGTCTTGTATAGATATGTGTCTGTATAAAATGATAGACGAGTTTAGGTGGATTTTTGTCCCGCGTGCATGCATACTTAATTTGAATATAACGAGGGAGTAGTCAATTAACTGTTTCTTTGAATATACATATATGGGAAGGTCGAGTATTTACATTGTTTGAGGGGTAAACTTCAAGGAGCGTTTCCACTTCTAATTGGAGTTTCTAGGTACTTACCCGGCGAACTCTGGTATGGCATAGGGAAATGAAGGACCTTTATTCCATCAACTAGGTCTTTGCTAGAATATTCAAATTAATGCGCCTATATCAGGTGCGGAGATTTCGGTTTTCCTGCTGTTATTACATTCAAAACTTTAATATACCCTCACATTGCTATTTCTAAGTCTACCAGATTTTATGCGAGATGTTTTTCCCCTTCGAATAATGCTCTTAGACAAAATTCATTGGGACGGTGGAAACCGCAGGAAATGCTTTCCTGCGAACAAATATTTAACCGCAGCAAATATTTTTTATGGAAAAATGTAGCTGACAGTAAAACGCAATTGATACTGCGCTTCGTTCCTCCCTCGCATTGACCGCATCAAAGAAATAGTAAAGAGCAAGGAATCCGTAATAAATTCCGTTTATGTTTTTTGATGTGTGAAACGCGATCGGGGTGTAGTCCTTCGAATGTTTGTCCGACCATGTATAAGTAGGTACACGAAATTTGTTGCTTGATGGAGAAAGCAAAACATAAGGCATCAGGGTGGTATTCGATGTATTCAAAAATAAATGTTCCTCGGGAGTTTTTTTTTAAGATTATTGTGAAAAATGTAACAGTGAAAACATCACTTTGCTGGTAAATTGATTTAAGCAATAAACGTCACTTTCGGATTTTCGCCCGAAATAATGGATTCGATTTTTACACGATGTGAATTTAAATTAGTTTATGTAAAGGGATGTGTTCATATTTTAATAAATGAATTACATCCAATTCTGGAACGGATTCATAAATGCCTATTTTAATTCACGCGCGTTGATATCCAACCGCTCAATTAGAATTTAGACCACGATTTATCCATATTTTGATTTAACATCAGCCCGAATTGCGAATTTTCACAGCGAATAAAGTTTTTGATTGATAAAATTCTATTAACAATAATTGAAAATAGCAAAATATATCGTGAATTGAAAAATACTGTGAATAGGATTAATAGGCACGTATTTAAAGTACATAATTTAATTTAATACGTTTACGGAATAACGTATACCTATATTGAAAAAATATCTACACTCGAGTGATTTCGAAAACAACCCTCACCCTCACCCTCTTCAGTTTTTCTCATCATCTCTCCTACTTAATGCAATCACTTTTTAACATCAACTTCACTTCTAACTAGCCGCAGTGACGAGGAGATTGCAAGAAAATCGCTGAACGCGATCATTCCACCTAATTAAACTACAAAGAAATGCGAGTATCTTGCTCGAGGATGAGTTTTGATCCTGTTTCAATAAGTTATTCACCTAATGCAATACAACGCAGGGTATCCCGTGAAACGGGAAAACTCGGTAGCGTGAAATTCGAGGAAACAATTGATTTGTGCTCTACTCGTATAATGGGAATGTTGGTTTCTTCTGGTTTAATTATAACATTTTCTATGCATACGGAGAGATGCAAAATTGTTTGTAATATAGGCTAGGGTGCAACAAAGACAACTTTCATTAGTCTCATAAAAGGAAACAGTGTTATTTAGTGGGATTGCAACTTTCTCGCTCTAACCATTGTTGTTTTATTAATCTTTCTTTGTTCAACCCATTAAATTGATCCTATTGCAAGCACATTAATTAGCACTTACCTATATGCAGCGTTTGCAGCAAAAGATATACAGGGTGTATCTAAATAACTTCAAACAAAATTTAGGGGGTGATTCTGTGATGAAAATTAAGTTACTATGTTACACATCTAATACTATTTTAAGAGCCTAACATCTATTTAAAATTGATTTCAAATCGACAATTTCTTATCAATCGTATTTAAAGTCTTCTGGCCTTTTTCATTCTTTTATAATAGTGACAGATTAAAAAAAAGAAGACGAAATATTTTTGACGTTTGACTTTGACACTTCTGACAGATCCGTAATAACATCAAAGTAGGATATTCTGATATTCATTACAATTTAATTTACAATATTTCCGAAGCAAATATTCATGTAATACAACAAATTGTGGTAACATAGAAAACTTAAAACATGTCGAAATCATCGACGAGATTTGATGTGAAAAAAGTTGTACGTAAAACATTTGCTAGATTTAATTTACATGGATAAATGTATTTCTGTTTTGCAGAATTCCGAACTAATAACTTTAACTTATGGGGCTTTGGTGGCGCAAATGATTAAAGATGTGGATAATGTGGATGATGTATCGAAGCAACTGGAGCGGCTCGGTTACAACATGGGCATTAGACTGATCGAAGACTTTCTAGCCAAAACAAACACGGGGAGGTGTCAAGACTTGAAAGACACGGCAGACAAAATTCAAAGTGCTTTCAAAATGTACTTAGGGATTCAACCGAATGTTACTAATTGGAGTCCATCGGGAGACGAATTCTCCTTTATATTGGACAACAACCCGCTTACAGAATTCGTTGAACTTCCAGACGATATTAAATCTTTAAAGTATTGCAATATAATTTGTGGTGCTATCAGAGGGGCGCTTGAAATGGTACAATTAGATGTTCAATGTTGGATTATTCAGGTAAACTAATTTTCTTTTTATATGTAATGGTTTAATTTATGCAATTTCTTACAGGATCAGCTAAAAGGTGATCAAAATACGGAAATCCGAGTAAAGTTTATCAGAAGACTCGAAGATGCCATGCCTGCTGGAGAGGATTAGTAGCAATTTATCGTAATTAAGTACCATTTTCACATTTTATTCCATACTGTTTTATCTTACATTCATTAAAAGATAAGTATGAATACAGTCCTTATAAATTTTTGTTAATACAATTAAAAAAGTACCTATAGCCTACAATAAATTTGTATTTTTATGTATTATTTCATTTTTCGTTATAAAATACACTAATGAAATAAAATATTTGTTTTGAAATATGTATAAACTAAACACAATTATCCCCTAATTATTTAAACTTGAAAAATAAATTAGTGGCTACTTTAATCCTACATTAGGTTCCTGTTCTAATCACTCTCACTATTCTCTTCCTCATCTTCATCAGAATCTTTAAGAGCATTCCCTAATTTACCTTTCTTCTTTGTCCTGCTATTTTCAATATCCGAACCTTCTTCGTCAGATGAGTAAATTGCCCCGCCTAAAAACAACCATTAATTTACTTCTACTTGAATTAACAACTTTATATTTAAATTACCTTTAGGTATATTTCCACCTTTATATTTGCTTTTAATGGCGTTTAATGAAATAGCTCCTTCATCATCTTCTTCATCTTCCTCTCTAGTAAAACTGTTAGCGTGAGATCTGGCCGCACTGTCGGTCTTCTTTCTAGTAGGTTTTTGTTTCGCAGCAGTTTGTCTTAATTTTTCTTCCTCTTTCTAAAAATTACCTCGAGATTAAAAGAGCGCGAGAGTAGGATTATAAAACTCACCTTTAATCTTGTCGCTTTGTCGAGATCAGGATCGAATCCGACTTGAGACACGATTTTAATGCCGCTCGTTTTAGTTGATCTATCTGCTAATGAAAGAGTCATTTTTCTGTGTGTGAAACTCTCTGTCGAATGAGGCCTGAAGCTCAGCTTTGTCCTGAACACAGCTTGACCTTGTAGACCTGTTCCTTGGCGAATGAACAAATGATTGTGATCGCCCTAAAAATTATTGATATCAATTACTTGGATTTTTAAAAATATTATCTCTTTTACTTGTAAAGGTTGTCTGTACACATCAAAAATTTCAGAGCCCAAATGCAAGCTATAGGAACCATCTGACCAACGAACCATTCTAGCGTTTGATTCCTTCTTTATATTCCCATCGTCGTCCATATATTCTCTCCACCTTATAGTATTTTCTACTTTTAGTTTTAATCTATAAATAAACATAATAAAATAATTGTTTGTAATAGAAGTTAAATTACTGTTTACCTAGCTCTTCCTTCCTCATCGAGTGTTTCCTCTTCGTCTATTTCATCTTCGTACGTTTCGGGATCGAAAGGTCTGGTCTCTACCGATAAGAAATTCGGCAATTTAACGAAATGTATATCTTTACCTAAGTCGCAGCTTATTTTAGGAACTTCTACGTCGATTCTCGTCTCTGGTATTACTTCAGGTTCATTTTCCTTCTCTTCTTCCTAAAAGGAACAGACGAATAAGCAACAGTAAAACGGAAATTGGTTATATTTTTTTACATCGGCCACAACTTTCTGCTGGTCTCCTTCATCTCCTGATCTCGATCTGGATCTCGACCTAGACCTAGATCGTCTTTCATCGTCCGAACGAGACCTTCTACCCGAATCCGAGGCTGCTTTTTCTTCGGCCTTTTCGTCTTCACTACTAATATCATCTGCATCTCCAAAAATATCAGCAGCATCCACTAAAATAAAATGGTTTAAAAAAACTGGAAAACAAAATGCAAATTGTAATGTAACACCTTTCTCTTTATCGCCTCCACCACCTCCATCTTCGCTATCAGACGCAGCAGCTTTCCTTCTCTTCGTAATTCTTTCCTCCGAGCTCTCCCTTCCCCTTTTTTCGCCTTCGTCTATCTGTAAGTTAGGGCTGTTCGAGCCACTGCGGTCCGATCCTTTCGATCGAGATCTAAAAACACCAATGTAAGAAGCATTAAGTTTATATACATCGTTATTGTTTACCTGGATCTTGATTTACTGACTCGTTTCGAAACAACTGATCCAGACTTGGACCTTCTAGAGGCAGCAGAACCAGACCTGGATCTTTTCGAAGCGTTCGAATCAGATCTAGACGCGTTCGAACCTGATCTAGACCTGTTAGATGCATTTGAACTCGACCTGGACTTATTCGAAGCGGACCTATGGGAAGCCCCAGAGCCTGATCTTTTTGATGCTGGTGAGCCAGATCTTGATCGAGCTGAAAAGATTCCATAAAAACTGGATTCAACAAGGTATTAAATAGTTACTCACAACCTGATTTGTTGGAACCGGATGAATTAGATCTTTTCGAACCGCTAGAACCAGACCTTGACCTATTCGAAGCCCTTGAAGCTACCGATCCTGATTTCTGGGAAGCGTGGGATTCCCGTCGAGAAACGTGCGATCCTGATTTTCTGGAGACGTGAGAACCCGATCTTCTGGAGTCCCCGGAGCCGGATCTTTGAGATCTCGGGGAACCAGATGTACGTGAACCTGGTGTAGCCGATCTGGACCTACTTCTGGAATCTCTTGATTGGCTAACGTCTCTCGATTTGTCGAAGGTTGGAGAATTTGAAGCAGATCTATCCAATCCATGGCCAGGCGTTGGAGCGGGGCCTCTATTCACATTTGAATCCATGTCATCTGAACCTGTGTCTGATGACATTTTAACTGTACCAACTAAATTTGTTAATTAAATGTAACAATTTATACAATATTGTGGTAAGAACTAAACAGTAAACACCAACACATATAAATTAATAAACAAGCAGTACATAACCTCAAATATTTAAATAAATTCTTCTTTTTTATTGCAAAAAAGTCATCTGTCATTCATGGGTGTTGCTTGACCGACCAAGTGAAGACCCACTAACCCATTATAATTGACAGTAGAAAATAAAAATCGTTTACATAACCTTATTATTTCAACCACGTTTGATTTGAATATTTACATTTTTTCCAACTGTGATTAAGTGAAAATGGGCAAAAAGAAACGCGGACGTTCGGTCAAAAAGAATTTAAACCAAACCACAGAGTCTAATGACTTCGTCCAAGCTCCACATTCGTTTGTTATCCATCGTGGTATTCCGGGAGGGCACATTTGGGAACTAACTAAGGACTTTAGAAAAGTTATGGAACCGTTTACAGCAGCTTCTTTAAAAGTACGTGTTCATTTTCTATCAAATAACTTTAACTTTATTGAAATGTTTTTTTAGGAAAGAAAAAAGAACGCGATTAAGGATTTCGTATCTATTGCTGGGCCGTTACACGTTTCCCATTTAGTAATATTTTCAAGAACAGACCTTGGAATGTACCTAAAATTAACACGGTTGCCTAAAGGACCGACATTAACGTTTAAAATACACAATTTTTCATTGGCACGAGATGTGGTTTCGGCGCTTAAGAAACAAAGAGTTGTAGAAGCTGCTTTTAAGCATTCACCGTTAATTGTGTTAAACAGTTTCAGTGGTGAAGGTTTACACATGAAGATGATGTCTACGATGTTCCAAAACATGTTTCCAACGATTAATCTAACAAACATCGACTTAAACACGATCCGAAGATGCGTTCTAGTAAATTATAACTCCAGTACTAAGCTAATAGAGTTTAGGCATTATAACATAAAAGTTGCTCCGGTAGATATATCGAAAGGAGTTAAGAAGGTAGTGCAAGGGAAGGTCCCTAACTTAACAAAATGTAATGATATTTCGGAAATATTTACAAGGTAAAATTAACATTATTTAACGAATGCTTGAACTAAATTTGTTTTTTTATTAGAGCTGGCATGATGTCTGAAAGTGAAGCTGAAGATGATCCCCAAAATCACGTGCAATTGGCTCAAAAAATAGCCTCTAGAGGTAACATGGAAATGGGGAAATCCGCCATAAGATTAAACGAAATCGGACCGAGACTAACATTGCAATTGATAAAAATAGAGGATGGTCTTTTGGATGGTGAAGTTTTATATCACGAATTAGTCTATAAGACGGAAGAAGAGAAAGAAGAGATACAAAAGAAACGAGAGCAGAAAAGGTTAATCATTTAAATTCCAAGTTTTTGAAGTAGATTTAAAGTGTAATTTTTCAGAAAACTAAAGGAGAAGAGAAAGAAAATTCAAGAAGCAAACAAAAAGGCTAAAAATGACACTAAAGAATTATTGAAACAACAATCAATTAAAGGAATGCAGAAAAAAGGGATTTTAAAAACCAACACAGAAGATGAACAAGTTGAAGAGATGGATAATGACGCTGAATATTATAAAGAGGATGTCGGGGAAGAACCAGATAAAGGTAAATTATTTTAATTATTCTAATGATAAAAATGTGAAATTAATGTCATTTATTTTTAGATCTGTTTTCTGGAACAAATGGTGTTAAAAGAAAGTATATTCCTCCGCATTATAAGAATAAGAAAATGAAGACGGATAATTCAGATAAATATCCCAAAGCGCAATTTAAGAAAAACATAAACAGAAGGAACGACACGAAATTTAACTCTAAAGATAAACCCAAAAAATCTGTAAAATTCGCTATTAAGTCGAAAACAAAAAAACAATTTAAAAGGAAATAGTTTAATAAAAAATTCTTCTACGTGAGACTCTTTGATAATTCATGTTTCTCTCTGTTGTCTTGCCTAATTTTACTCTCCCTTAATCTCCTTTCCGTCCGCGACTCCTCCCTTGCTTCGTAATATTTTTCCCTAAAATCGGATATATTGCACGTGTATTGCTGCATTTCCTCTACAGTAGGCTCTCGGATCTTTTCAAACGTCAACAGCCTTCTAGAAGTTACCTTCGATAATCCTTGTTCACTGTTAGCCGTTAATGTAAAACAAGGATGAGAAGGCAGGCATTTTTCATTGTAATCTTCCCTAAACACAAACAATAAATTATATATTTAGTAATTACATTTTTAGGTAACGCTTACCTAAATACTGGAAACCAGCAAACAACGCACCCGCCAATTTTCAAATGCTTTGCAGCAAACAGTAACAAATCCCCGTAGATGTTGGAAATCCCGTAATCGATCTTAGCAGGAATATGCGTCGGTAAGTGCTCTTCCTTGACTTTGTAATTCTTTTTCAATGTACCTATTTTTTCTGTCGCCTCTCTTATACCGTAAGGTGCTGAAAAATCGTATCACTATTTTGCAGAAATGTTATCGATTATCTTACGATCCGTGATGATTGCGTCGAATTTAAAATCGTTTCTCCAAAAAGATGCAGAGAAATCGTTAACTAATACATCTAAATACCGATGGCTCAAGTCGTATTGCTCCATATTGGCTTTAACGCTCTCGTCTTTTTCTCTTATCTGGAACATTTCAGTTGATAGAATGGGATAAAAGTGATCAAGTAACCACTGTATACCGTCTGTTTTATCCTCGTAGGTCTAGTCCTCCCGTGGAGCATCAAGTAATCAATGTCTGTCCCTAAGACGTATCCACCGAATTGTGCTGCAGCCACTAAAAGTGATCCTGAACCAACGAAAGGGTCTAAGACAATATCACCTTCTGTAATTTTAGCTTGGTTGGCCATTAACAGAGACAGCTGCGGATCCATGCTCGTGTTACCTATAAATTTTCGGGTTTTTAAAGAGAGTTTTTTAATCAATTGTCTCAGACCGCTAGTAACCTAAAAAATAGGACATTTAGTTTGTACCAAACAGTTTTCTATTATTTTCAAGGCATAAATAGAATAATTATTCTCACCCATCTACCAAAGAATACATCGTACGGTTCCTCTGGTGGATTGTTGGCTTCGATCCCGTAATACTCGATATACTGCATTTTAACATCGGGTTGTTTCAAATCTACCCTACCGCACATCGGTAAATAACTGAATGCCTAAAAATAGTCGATATAATTACCAGGAATTGAAATGTTACCCAAACTACCTCTATTTTGCTAACTTTCTCCTGCTGCGAAACGTGTTTACAAAACGTTTCGACTTCTATTTTGAATGATTTACTAGGCTCGAAATAATGCTTTATTAAATGCATTGGATATTCCTTCATTTTTCTGTGCAATTCTGAGACTGTTTTCCCGTGTGCCCAAAGTTCCATGCAGTTTTTAAGCGAGACTGATCGACTTGCTAGAAGTTTAACATCATTTTCCGAATTAAACTCCACTAGCCAGTAAGGTTCCTGAAGTAACACAGTTAAGCATGTTTATTAAACGCAGCTTTTTACTTACTATATCTTTTGGTTGCTTAATAAATCTCATTTCAATTTTAAATAGGGATAAGAGCGATTTAATTTCCTGGAAAACAAATATGGGTGAGCAAAAGTTGAAAATTATAAATTAAGACTTACCGCAAAACGAAATTCTGTATGTTCTTGGGCAAACCAAAGTAAATAAGAGCGGCATGATCTACTCATTGTTCAAAAATGAATTGGAAGGATATTATAATTTTAAAATTAAAATACACAACAATAACCTCCTTGCTTTCATGCTTTTGGATTTGTTTGGGTAAATTTACATTTCTGTTGTTGGCAATACTAATGAAACCAAATAACCGAAGTAGTACAGGCCCAAATTCTAAAGAAAAGTGACAGGTGACTGTCTGAAAACTGCCAAATTGACATCTCTTACTTCCACAAATGTAATTTTCATAACAATACCCATATTTATATTTTATCCTAATTATATATCTCTTAAATAATAATGGCGGTGGTAATATCGTCTACGTTAAAATTAAGTGAGTATTTTTTACATTACACAGTTAAATCAAGTCATCTTAACCCGAGTTTTGTTTATTACATAACTTTGTTTTCAGGTAATTGTCCTGCTACTATTTCAGTAGCTTACTTACGTTTAAACAATTACAGCTCCAGTAGCAATCCTACCACACTTAATTTATCCACTTTAAAAAAAGGTACTGGTGGTCGGTCAAGTTTTAATGGAGTTGTTGCTACAGTGTTCGGAGCAACTGGGTTTATCGGTAAATATATTGTAAATAGACTAGGAAAATCGGGATCACAGGTAACCTGCACACATAAGCATTGCAACAATATTCTTCATTGTTTTTACTAGATTATTATCCCGTACCGAGGTGACAATTATGAGCCTTTCCGCATGAAATTGGCCGGAGATCTTGGTCAAGTGTATTTCCATGAATACAATTTAAGAGACGAGGATTCCATCAGAAAATGCATCAAATATTCAAACGTTGTCATCAACTTAGTAGGCAGAGATTGGGAAACGAAGCGATTCTCATTTAACGATGTCAATGTGGAGGGTGCAAGGCGGTTAGCAAGATTGTCTAAAGAAGCCGGAGTCGAACGATTTATCCATTTTTCATCGATGAATGCCTCAGATAATCCCAACAGGGTAACAAAATCACGAAGTCACTTTTTCTTGAATAACTCGTAAATATTTGTAGAGTGGTATATTACCAAATGGATCTAAATTCCTCGAAAGTAAAGGATTGGGCGAACAAGCCGTGCTTGAGGAGTTCCCGGAGGCTACAATATTCAGGCCTTCTGATGTCTACGGACAAGAAGACAGATTTGTGAGGTAATAATGTATATTTATGGTATAATTATCATTTAGTATAATATTGTTATGTATTAAAGGTATTATGCACACGCCTGGAGACGCCAAGCAACCTTCGTTCCGTTATGGTACAAAGGTGAAAGAACCCAAAAACAACCAGTGCACGTTTCTGACGTAGCTACTGGCGTTATGAACGCTATTAAAGATCCAGATACTGCCGGGCAAATTTACCAAGCTGTAGGGTATGTATATTTACACACAAAAATTTAATTTCGTTATTTATTCGTTTGATGTTTTTAGACCTAAGCGATACCTGCTATCCGAATTGGTAGACTACTTCTTCAGAGTGATGAGGAAAGACGGTGATTGGGGTTACAAACGTTACGACATGCGCTGGGATCCCATCTTTCAATTGAAAGTTACGCTAACCGAGAGGCTGACTTGGAACTGGCCGCTTGGTCACCTCCATTGGGAGAAGATCGAAAGGGAACATTTATCTGACGACGTAAAAGATGATATTCCCACGCTCGAGGATTTGGGAGTTCATTTAACCACTGTGGAAGAACAAATGCCTTGGGAATTTAAGCCCTGGACATATGCTATTTACAAGGGACAGGATCCAGACGAGCCGCTTGCCCCTCCTGAACCACCAAAAGTAGTTGTAACATAAATCATTTTGTTGATTAAAGAGAGAATAATTCAATTTGTTGTTTATAAAACTGTTCAAGCATTACTTTAAATAAATAATGATGATGACTTATAATGATGATTTTATTTATACAGGGTGTTTCCTAAACATGCGGCAAAAATTCAGGTGGTTGTTCCTTGGACTATTCTAAGAATATTTTGTCCTTTGATGATTTTTGAAAAACCTCTTTGTTTCGAAGATACAGGGGAAACAAAATTTTAGATAATAACATTTTATTATGAAAAATTACATGAAAATTTAACTTAACCTACAAAAACTGTTAAAAATTACCACCTCTAGCCAGCATACAAGCATCCAATCTTCTCCTCATCCCCTTCGTTCTCCTCAGTTTAATCTGTATTCCTTTACCATCTGAACTTATCAATTTTAAGTCAAAAAACTGGCCGTTTTTAGTAATTGGAATGTTGTTAAACAAATTTAAAAATAAATTGTACCTACTTAGTAAACACAGTGCGGTACGCATTTTTATTTAAACTATTATTAATTTTAAAAATATGAAAAATGTTGTTCGCCCTGTATCTTCGAAACAAAGAGGTTTTTCAAAAATCATCAAAGGACAAAACATTCTTAAAATAGTCCAAGGAACAACCCCCTGAATTTTTGCCGCATGTTTAGGAAACACCCTGTATGTTCCTTGCCAGTTTTTACAATTTGTTAGATACTAATTTAAGAGTAATAAAATAAATAATTAGAATAGTAAATATTGTTTAACCCCAAAAACCGTGTCCCCAACCCACTCCATAAGGTCTGTAACCCCATCCGAGCCCTGTGAATCCTGGGTAATAAGGCCTGTATAACCCTACGCCGACACCACCCCATCGAGTTCTCCCCCAAGCGCCCCATCCAGGTCTGCCCCAACCGCCCCATCCTCTTCCATAACCGCCATACCGTCCCCACCTGCTCTCCTCCGTCTCCAAATCGTTGGCTTTCAAGTCATGATCCTTATTATTCGCATTAACATTGGACAATTGCTCTGTTAAATCGTTTGTTGGGTGTGTCAATGTTAGCGTAAAAATGCACACAAGAAGAATAAATACCTGCAATAATAATTGTTTTAATTCCAGCTGAGTAATTGTTCATAATAATAAAAAGTTTTTTTTTACTAAAAATATGTAATTATAAAAAGGCTTGCGGCATTGACACTTTTCAAGGTGAAACGAAGATTTTGAACTTACAATTTTTTACTAGATAATAATTATGTAACATAATAGGATAAAAAGAGTAGTGTATAGCATATTGTCTGTGGGATTGAAGAAAAAAAGTTAAAGTACTCGCTACTTACACAGAATATATTCGACATATTTATCGCTGGAAACCAGAAGAGCTTTTGAAAATGTCGCAAACTTATTTGACGATTTGATAAATGCAGTCCCTTATATAGACATTTCATCTTATTATTGTTGTTTTTTGTAATTAGTGGCTGTTAAAAAATGGAAATTCCACTGTGTACTCAGAGAGGTCGTCGATATAATAGAGATAAACCTCCTCATAACTGATGCTATGCCAAAATTGAACTTTTTATCTATTATTTTTAAGTCAATTTACTACTTGAAATAATAATGTTTAGCTATTAAATTATTATTATTATAATCCTATTTGGTACCACAGTTTTTTGTAATTAACAAACATATTCTTTGAGCGCAAACAACGGAAAATGTATTCTAAGTTTTGTTTACATCGGTGCACTCGAAGTAATTGATGCTTTGTACCGTCGTATATTGTTTATCGGATGTTACCCATTTAAATTTTAATACGAATGTTTGTATTCATAAGAGGCAGGTAATTTTCTCCATAAGAAAATACGTCTAATTAAGATGAAGGTACTAAACGCGTCAGAACTGGTGCTGACGTTATTCGAGTAAGTTTTAAATTGTAGTAGATCTTGTGAAGCGGAACTTCTTAAAATAGCGTGAATCCTAAAAAAAAAAAACGAAAAACCACGTAAACAAGTTCGTAACCTTTCAAATCTAACAATTTCAACACTTTTAGTGCTTGTTGTTTCCTACTGAATTAATTAATTATTGGCTTATTGAGATGTATTATTATCCATTTTTTACGCCGCGCGTCGTCTGGTTTTTTTTGAACTTATTAATTTCGTGTTTTCGTTTTAACAAAACAAATAAACAAAATAAAAGGATATTTCAAAAGCAGCAAAAAAAACTCTATAGGTAGGTAGGTACCTGCAATGAGACTTGCATTTTTTTGGTCTATTTATCACTATTTTCACTGCGCTATATTCAAATTTTTAAATTATTGCTAATATCTTCAATTGAGAAGGACCCACCTGAATATTCGAAAAAACAAAATTAAATTATGTGACAACCAAGGCCAACGCGGATTTCTTGTATTACTAGAAGTATCGCCAATATTTTTGAATTTTTATCAAATAAATTCGAAACTCTCTTATCTAAGAAATATACTGCTCCACAAAAGTTAAGGAAGTTCACAAATATTGAGATTAATTTAAAAGTTACAGGCCAAATTTAGTATGAGTTGTAGAGGTAGGGACAAAAAATCCACTCAGATATGAGAGAAAACATTTAATTTCGCATATTTGAAAATTTGGTGATCAAAAAGTCTTTAACTTTTAAAATAATCGCAAAATTTGCGAATTTCCTTAACTTTTGTGGAGCAGTTTATTACAATTTAAATTTCAAATTTAACTCAACAATAATAAATCATCACCATTAAATCAAGATGTATTAATTATTCCTATACACTATTAACACAGAAATTAATACATCCAATTTATTTATCAATACAAAATTAGATACAAACAAATCTCAGAATCGTACGCAAAATTACGCACATTATTTACGCATTTGTACTTCACTTAATGTATTCTTTAATGTGAGAAGAATACCTAATAACCCCCTATGATCAGATAGGCAATTAAAATATTATGAACGATATAAAATTACGATATTAATTTTCAATTTTTTATACACAGTTTTTATAGCATTTACATATTTCCAACTAATGTAGACATAAAAAAAACCTGAAGAACGGAATACATGAATAACAACCTCTTCAAGGATATGTAATTTTTCAGAATCTGGAGCTATATAAGCGGCAATAGTTTTACCTGCTATCGTTAGTCAACACTTCTTCGCTGTCGAATTAAGTATTCCGAAAAAAACAGAAAATTTTCAAAATGATGAAGGTAATTTTATATTTTTTTATTACACTATACATTATTTACTAAATCCTAAAATTGTTACAAGTTTTGTCGTGACAATTAAACATAATCTATTTAATTTCTACGCAGGAAATCATCATATTGGGCATGCTCTGCGCCTTCGTCTATGCATTACCACCCCACGTTCCCATTCCTGACCGCCTACAAGCCCTAGTACAAGCCCCCATCGAAAGTGACCTGGAAACTGCCGCCTCCGCTCATCACGGTTACGGAGGTGGTTACGGAGGTGGTTACGGAGGAGGATACGGTGGATACGGTGGATACGGCGGACACGGTGGATACGGAGGATACGGCGGACATGGCTACGGACACGGCGGACATGGATACGGCCACGGGCACGGACATGGACACGGACACGGACACGGACACGGGGGTTGGTAATAATAAACGAGTCAAAATTGATGAGTAGGTTCCATTTGGAACATCTATGTAGGTATTAGTGAGATTTTTGTATTATTTGTGAACGTTATTTATACCAACTTACTTAATTGTTATTAAAATGTATTATATACACGATGTTTCATTTGTAAAAGTGGATCTGTGTCATGTCAATATTGTGACAAATTTGAATATGAATGTGCTCAAAGTCCAATCGAGCTCCAGTTGCTTTTTGGGCACAAAACCTAGTAATATAGATGTACTGGTTTTAAATCCTTCTAATCCCATCAGATTGAATCGAATTTGGAACTTGTGTTTACGTTTGCCTGATAGTTTATTCTGGAACGTAAGTACTTCTAAAACCTCATATTCTAATAGCATTAGCTGATAAATATTTTTTAGGTATTGATATTGGTGACAATCGTATTGAACTATGTTTTCGTTACGTTAGACCTAACGTTTTCACTTGTATATTACGAAAAGTTTTTGTATTTATACGTTATTTTCGATGTGTTGTATTTTATCGATTTCGTGATTTCGATATTTCATAAATTTCTATTCGCGAAGATCGACTCGAAGTTGCTGGTCATCGTGGTGGATTTTTTATCAATAATTCCGCAATTTGTGGTGTTTGCCTCGTTCCTGAATAGTTCTCTGAGCTTTTTGGTTATCTTCTGTCGACTTTCGACGATTTTAAGATTGAATCGACTGAGCCTGTTTGGGAAAATTCGTGAAAAATCCTTGCAGAATGATTGGAATTGGTTTGCTTTACAGTATTTTACTATTTTCAGTCTTATTGTACACACGACTGTTTGTTTGTGGTGTTCATTATTCAATAAGAAACAGTTTAAGGAGGTAAAACTATACAGCATTCCGAAATCAATAATTTTTATAAATTAAGATTTTTAGCTTCTTGTTCCAACCACACCGCAGACTGATAACATTTTGAATTACTACTTGAGTTACTCATATTATTCTCTTCAGTTATTTTTAAACGTTGGTTTCGGAGACATTTTTCCAGAAACTTTTGCAGAAGTCTACTTAATTTCAGCAATTATTATAGCTGGACAATTTTTGACAATTTGGTTTATTTGTTACCTATCGTGGAAGTTGATCATTCGAAAGTTTCAAAATTTTAAAATCGCTGTACAGGTATTACCAGTTTTCTGTTACATATTATTAGCCTACGCCAATATTTTCTCTTGTAGATAAAAACTGCATTAAAATGCGCGGATGAAGCTACAAAATCGAAAATATCACGATATTTTTTCTCAAAACATTGTGATTATTTTGGATACAACTCCTTACTGGAAACCCTACCTCCCGTTTTAAAGCAAGATATTCTCTACGATTTGAATTGCGGGCTCTTGCAGCGATCCAAAATTCTGAAAGAATTGCCGGAATCGATTTTGAAAAGACTAGCATCGCAAATGAAAAGCGTGCTTTTGCCTCAGGGGGAATGCGTTTATTTTCAATACGTGCTCAAGACGGGCTTGGTTTGCATAGAAGACGGTGTTTTGGAAATTCTGAATCACGAGGATCAGGAAACTCCCTTGATATCCTTTCGAAAGGGTACTGTTTTAGGTAAATGAATTCGCACTAAACATACCCACATGGATAACTGTATTAATTTTCCAAGGAGAAGTAGCATTGTTCTTTAACATCCCTTCCAAATGTACCGTGAGAGTCAAAGAGAATGCGGAAATAAGAATTTTAGAGAAGCGAGATTTCCTCAAAATAATCCGTCTCTATCCTGAGGAATTCGAAAAATTGCATGAAATGTTGAACAAACGATTAACATGGGCGATCAGAAATCGAAAAACTATTCAAAAATATCGTTCGCCGAGTTTGAGACGACTTAAATTAAATTTGAGCCAGTATTTAGTGGAAAATGTCGATGAGAATCGTTGCTGGGATATGTACAAAATGAATTTAGACGACAATAATTTACCTGATGTGAATGTTAATTGGGTAGGTATGGTGCATTCATATTTGTCCGGCGATGACGTTAGAAGCCTTTTAATTATTTTATGTCATATTAAATTCGGTGTCATCACTGGAACATGGTTTATGGATAGTTATAAACTTACAGTTAAATTTGTACATTTCAAATAGAAGAGGTGGAAATATGTCAGTAATGTTGGTCAAATAGCATTTTGTGTATTGTATCCATATTATGCGATTTTTGAGAAGAATGTTCCGCCGTATTTATTATATTTCGGATTGTATGCAGATGCATGTTACCTTCTAGATATTATTGTGCAATCCAAAACACCAGTTCAATTTGAGGTTCTCTTTAAACAATACCCACTATTATCTTATAATTTAGAAAAATGTTATTTTAGGGAAAATTGGAAAGGAGCATTCCGAGAATTCTGGAATTGAAATTAGGCGAGTTAAAATTTAATCTGGATGTCTTCTCGTTGTTTCCAATAGGTTTTAAAATGTGTTTATAAAATTGCATTGTAATTGTAATTGTTAATTTGCAGAAGTTTTATCGTTTCTGTTCGAAGACACTACGAGGCAGAACAGATTTTTCGATTTGTTTAAATTCAATAGGTTGTTGAGATTGTATCGCTTACCAGACGTCCTCCTTGTTTGTGGGAAAGAGGATTTATCTTTGGTTAATTTACTTTTTTGTTGCAAAATAAACATTTGTTCTAAGAAATATTTCTAGATGGCGAAATTGACTAATATTTTAATATACAGCGCTTTAACTGTGTATTATTCAGCTGCTTTTTTGTATTTAAATTCATGCTTTGATATCATCTGCAATGACTCCAGCTGGTACTACGTAAGTACATTTTTTTTTTCACTACATTTTTGGATTGACCCAAGTTTTTGAGTCCATTTTTAGGTCAATATTAGATGTCTTTTTAGGCGATTTCGAGTGAAACCGAGGATTTCGAAGACCCAAAAAAGGCTTTATTTGATTCCTTGTATTTCACTGTAACAATCGCCTTCTGCACCGGCATAGGAGATATCATGCCGAAATCCACAACCGATTATTGCATAACCGCCACTCTGCTGGTGTCATTTTTAATTTTAAAAAGCCACTGGTTGGCCGAAATAATATCGCAAATGTTCCTGAACGAATTTTTCAGCGGTTCGATAGAAGCCAATTTATGCAAAAAAATGTGTTCCAAAATAGGTGGATCCTCGAGCAACATCGTACATCAAATATACAGATTTTTGGATATCGATCCTAATTTCTCGAATGTGTCTAGCCGATATTTCCTGGCCGATTCTCTACCTAGTTTTTTGACGATTCGCCAACACGAAGAAAAGAATTCTTGGAAAAACATTGGGTTGTTCAAGAAGATTGACCCTTATTTTCTAGCTGTGAGTAGCAAATCTTGGTGATAATTGAGTATGTTATTCTGCGATTTGCTGTGATAATTTCTCGTAGTTATTGGAGAAAACTATCAAATTTTGGACGTTTCCAAAAAACGAAATTATTTATTATTCCGGCGATCCAACGAGACAAATGTTCGTAATAGAGAGAGGATATTGTAACATTTACAACGCAGATAATATTTTGGAGAAGTCAGTTGGACCTGGTCATCAACTAGGTGTACTAGAAATACTATACTCTCTACCCAAAAATCATACAGTCATCGCCAAAACTGATTGTGTACTAGCCTATCTGGATTACAGTTCAATTGATACTCATTTAAAATTATTCCCCAAAGAATTAATTATCCTAGAAACAACACTATTTGAAAAAGATATCAGAGAAAGTATAGCCCAATTGGAACGTTCCCGTTTAGTTACCGATTTAACGAAAGAAATTACTGAAAAAGAGTATGTAATTATTATAAAACGTTTCTTAATTTTTACTCATGCATCTCCTAGATATTGTTTCACGAACTTGCTAAGAAAATGGCCTAATTATTACGAATTGTACCGGCAAAAACTTGGAAGACTTTGGTATGTGAGCTTCCTTTTAATACCTGTTGCAGTACACCCCCAAAGTTTGTTCCTGAAATCATGGTGTCTAACGAGAGCTTGTTTTATATTATTACAATCGATTGTTTCCATGATAATTGTTTTAAAGCATTCTGGATTGGAAAATATCGTCTGGATAGCTTGGATTGGTCAAACTACGCTCTATCTCGAAATGTATTTGAGTCTGCACATCGTCTATTACAATGGAAAGGGAAAATTGAACACTCATACTTTCTACACATCTTGGTGAATTTAATTCAATTACTTTTTGTGTAAATAATAGTTTATTTAATTATTACAGGAACTATCTTACTCGTGGATTTTTATTGGATTTAATAACCGCCTTAACATGGCAATATTTTCTTATGAACTACAATTTCGATTCTGATCGAGGAAAATTTTATTCAAATCCGAATGTCTGCGGTCTGATAGCACAAATACAATTTCACAAGGTTTTTCAATGCCTCCGGTATTACGAGAACAGAAACGTCGAGTGGAAAAACCTGTGGAAATTTTTTGAGTTGATGTTAATTGTGGTTTTAATTATCAATGTTTTAGTTTTCATTTGTGCTAGCTATTTTTTCCAGTACACTGTTTTCCATAAAAACTACACAACAGGATTGTATGTAGTTATCGATTGGATGACTCACTCAGGATTCGGAAATTTCGGCGGAAATGATGCAAAAGTCGCGGCAATTTTTACAACTTTAATTGGGTTTATATTATTTGGAATAATAACGAGCAGTATTTGTACCATATTCTTGGTCGAAGTCGAGGAAAGTGTTAATTTCCGTCACGAAGTTTTCGAGTTGCTAAAATTTGTTTCCTCCCGTAAAATTCCTGCTAAAATGAAGCAGAAAGTATACTAATTAATTTTATTAACTTCTGCATCAACTTAATTGATCATTTTTAGATAATAACACATTTCAATTTAATTTGGGAAAACACCAAAGGTTCAAACGTAGAAGAAAAATTATACTCGGAGTACTACTACAACAACAGACTTCTGTCGAGCACTCACGATGAACTCTTCTGCGATGTACCGTTATTACACCACTACAATACAAACTATATGAAAATTATTGTTAATCAACTTAAAATACGGTATTTCCAAAAAGGTAATAATCTATTTTTGATACACACAAAAATCTTTTACTAGAATTATTGTATAGATGAAATGATTACGAGTTATAAAGACGTGTTATCGGATATTTACATTATTTGTACGGGGCAGGTCGAAATATTCAACAAAAATAAAGATCCCTTATGTCTCCTTGGTCGCGGTGGAGTTTTTGGAAACATTCGTAAGAACTCACATTCATTCTGTAACGTCTACGTAACAGCTAGAAGGAACGTTAAATTGTGGGTTTTGAGTTCTCAATCGTTTTTTAATACTGTCAAATATTATCCGATTATTGCTGAAGAAGTGGATAAAATGTTGAAAGGAAAACCTGCTTATTTGCCACCGATTGCAACAGAACACAACGAGGATTCATGTAAGTATTAAAAAAGTACCAAATCGTTTTATATGTGATATTTATTATATTTTAGGTATTAGAAAACGCCTGTTAGATGAGCTGGAATTAAATGATGATACCGATAAAACTACATCAGATGCGTCTTTTGACACTAGAACTCAAATAAATAGTTGGAAGAGATTCGTTTTCAAAATAGATAGGATAAATAAAGTAAGTAAATACGTTTTAGTTTTTTTTACATAATTTTCTTTTATTATATTTTATAGATATTGGATTTTGTAACATTTATAAGTAGCTTAAGCAACGTTCTAATAATAACATACGTTTTCGTAACGCAAGAAAAAAGCAGCTTAGAGTACGTTTACGTTTTAACAGAGCCGATATTTTATGTAAGGATTTTCTTTCAAATACGAACTTTATGGAAAACCTACCTGAATACGCCCAGATTATACCTTTGGGACATCATACCTAATTTACCAGTAACTTTATTGTGTTATTGCTTCGAAAAAGAGCAGTTTTTTTCATATACTTGCATAAGGTTGTTCCATCTTTTGCGTTTTTATTACGTTGTGGAATTCTTTAGAATGGTAACAACAGTCTTATTCACTAACGTGTATGTTGGATTAATTTTTTGATTGTAGAACATGAGAGAATTGTTTATGGGAAGTTGGTGGTATTTAGCAAAAGTTATATGTTATTACTGCATTTTAATCCACATTTTTGCTTGTTCTTGGTTTATGGTTGCTTGTCCTTTTAACAAATGTGGTCCCGAGACTTGGATGTCTCAATTTAAGTACGTTTAACCATTACATTGTTCTACTTGTTAATTTACTCGTACATTTTCAGCCACAAAATCCTACAAAAATCTACTGCTCGCCACAAAATGATATTATCTTACTATTTCGTTTTAAATCTAATTAGCACCACTGGCATTGGAAATATCGTACCTAAATTTAATTGGGAAATTACGTTGACGTTAATAACAACGTTTGTTGGCAAGATTTTTATATCGATACTTACAGGTAAATGTTTGATATCATTGGTGGTTATTTAAATGAATTGGGGTAATTTTAGCGACAATTTTAAAAACAATGTACGTTATCAAAAAACTGCGGGGAAAATTTGTCGTGCAATTGATGTCGTTGATAAAAATTCTCCAAAACAAAAATATTTCAAGTAAAACAATTTGAGTAGTTTGTAAGGTGTGTAAACTAAAGGCTTGTTTTATTGTAGATTTCCTATTTAATAAGTTGTTGATTTATAAAGAGCGTATATGGGTGCATGAACAGGGTATTGTAGAGAGGAATATTTTGGAAACTTTATCCTATCCTTTACTCCAAGAATTGACGTCGTTTTTATACGAAGACATACTAAAAGAATCCTTCCTATTTCAGGTTTATTTTAGCTATTTATTAACAATACATTCAACGTTTTGTGTTTATAAATTTTCAGGATTTAGACCAAAGCCTACTCAGCCAAATTAGCACCAAACTGAAACGGGTAATTTATTTCGAAAACGACTACATTACAAAAACCGGCGAGGTTAATTCAACAATGTATTTCATCAACAAAGGAAGCGTCTTCGTTTTGACCAAGCATTCGCCACTCAAGGAAACCAAACACATCAAACTCTACCCGAGAGATTTGTTCGGGGTTTCCCAAGGTCTGAACCTCGAAAAGAGCCATCACTTCTGCTACAGGGCAGCGTCTCCCGTTGTCGAGATTTTATCGCTGCAACACGATGACTGGTCGTACATAATAGATTTTTTTCCCCGAGATAAACAACAGTTGCTTGTTAGAGTTCATAAGGAATATAATAAATTAAAATAATGTTGGCAACACTATACAATGAATTTTTTTTACTTTAATCGTTCTAAAAGACAGGTAGTTTTGGAATTTTGAAATCCTTTATAAAGCTGTAGAAAAGATTTATGCTTATTATTAGGCAACCACCATTACACTAAATTTGTTAAGTGCAAATTTGTATTATAATATGGTCCATTATGAGTTGAACAATGAAAGATTGCATTAATGTAGGTTAGATGAAGAAAAAATGGAGAATGAGAAAGGGCTACTTTTCAATATTCTTGAATGACAGTAAGGTAGACTGGGGCAAATGTAAAAATGGGGTAAATGTAAGATTTTTACCTATTATGGTAATGTTTTTTATTATTTTTATAGTTCTTTTGTGCATTAGACAGGGTTTGTTTCTTATTTTTTCTTTATTATTTTGTAGCTCCTTTATTTTTTGAAATAAATAAATAAACAGCATATCAAATTTTAGAGGAACCAAATATGTATTTATAATTGCCCCATATGTTTTTCTATATAATTGTATTGTCTCTTTAGAACCGTTTGTTACATTTATCCATGGTACGGGGTAAATGTAACATATTGTCAACATTTAAAAAAATATGTAAAATCGTTTTCTTCCTTTTTCAAAAAAAACTTTTTAATACTACGATTCTGTAGTTTAGGAAGTTGTGAATTTAATATGGTATCAGCATTTCTAATAAGAGAAAAAATAAAGCCAAATTTTAGGATTTAATTTGAACTATTCAAATTTTACAACCGATTTGCCCCAGTCTACCTTATTTGAAATCCTGTATAAAGTATGCTGTGAGAAAGTGACAGAACCTTACTAATAGGCAACAAACATTACATTTTGTATTTTTTGTATGTATAATGTACCATTTTAAAGCGGGATAAAATATATTAAAGTAAATAAGAGAAGTAGAAATATCGTTTGCTTAACTGTGCTAAATGTAGATAAATAAAGCAAACAAATAAAATTTTTCGAAAAATTACAAACAATAATCCCATAATTCCAAAACAAATCCGCACAATAACCATAACAACGACGCTGCCCATTTACCTTTCTACCTCTCCGACCTTCTTCTACCCATTCCATATTCCATATTCGATTTCAACCCACATACGATTAAAAAGAATGGCGCTCGACCCGCGAATGACTCACAGCCATATACATATAAATATATATACTGCTCGCTCCCTACCCCAGCCGTGAGCTAGTCGCGTCCCAATCAAAGAGAGAGGTCCGATGAACATTCTGCACCCATCTGGACTTTTGTCAAAAGCGCGCAAGTACAGTTTTTACCGCCAAATGCCAATAATTTTAAATTAACACCATTATTTAAACATAAATTATACTGCTTAAAAGAATGAAAAGCTATTAAAAATGGGTTGAATTTGTTTGAGAATGTTTAAATAAGGGAACAAAAAACAATATTTGACTGACAAAAGTTATTTAGTTAATTGGAAGCAAATAATTAATAATATTAATATATTTTAATTAAAAAAAATAAATCCATTGATTTAATCATTATTTAAATAAATTCAAGATTCTTAAGCAAATAAATTACTTTGAAATATTACATTAATTTGAATGTTTTTTTTTTGAATTATACATGATTTGGCTCGTTATTTTAATTAGATTAGAAAAATTGAACATAATAAAATTATTAGTATTAAATTATTTTGTTAGAATTTTTTCTTTTTTTTGTAATTTTTTAATAAACTTATGCTGTTACAAAACTAGTTTCATTTTTTTAAATTCTTCTGATGCATAAACGATTATCCAAACTTAAAAATCAAATTTAAAAGATTTTTTTTAAAGAATTGGCCCTAGATTTTGGATACAAAATAAAACAACATTTGCAATTTATATTTTTATTGGTTCTTAAATAATACTAATTTATTATACTTAGTTCTTACATAATTATCTTTTGTAGACAAAATCTTACATACGTGAAACAATCGTACATCTAAAAATATATTTATTATTAACCTAATTAATTGATTAAGGTGGTTATTTAACATATCTTGATTTTTGATATGATTCACCATTTCTTCTGTGTTAAACACATATTTGTAGCATTGTTTGAAAATTTTATTAGCTAAAACCATTTTGAAAAGTTGGTCATTCATATTTATATGTTGCCTTAACATTTTTTCTCCTATCTTACAAATAAACACAACATCCTTTGAAGGATAAATAAATTTATCTCCTTTGTCTTTAATTTTAATAAATTCCCATTCTTTCACATCATTTTTTAAATGTTTTAAACAAGTCAAACAATTATTAACCTCAATAATTTTTTTGACTACATATCCACTAATGTATTCAACCACGTTCTCTACATATGTATTTAAATTATAGAACGTATTTACGTAGTCATGGTCAAATAGATCAATCGATACGTCTTCATTAATAATTTCTAAATTACAATATTTTTTTTTTGAACTTAAATCTAAAATATTTAAACCATCAGCCAAACAATTTGAATTAGCAAAATAGGTTAATTCATTTTTTATTAATAATCTTTTATACGCATATTCAAATTGTTTGGTGTTTGGATTATTGTTCCATCCACCCCTACTTCTTATTGCGCTAAAAAACGTCTCCAAATGATCCTGACTCAATTTAAACGTTAATAAATAATTTAATTGATCTTCTAGATCTTTATACAAATCGAAAATATTTATTAAATTAATGATAAAACCTAAAAAACCCGTTTTTCTTCCCCCCTTTATTAAAAGTAATCCACTAGTATCTTTTAACAATTCTATATATTTTATAAAGTTTTCGGCTTCACGTTTTAAGGTTTCAAAAGATTCCTTATCAATTACTCTGCAGAAATCTTTTTTTTTTCCATATTTATTTTTAACATTTAAAATATCAAAAATATTATTAAAATTTTTACAAAAATTGATTGTACCTTCAGCACTTTGAAATATTGCATTGGTGTTTTTTAAATATATTAATGATTTAGCTACACTTTGAAAAACACTAAAAAAACAATCCGGAAAACACTCTTAAAACTATAAACAATCAATCACAATGGCGGAAGCGAAAGTACGAAGCATGTAAACGTAAAACGTAAACAAGATATTTACCCAATAACCCAACTTTTAAGAAACGATAGCCAATCGTTATCACGGCTCAATATCACATGACCAGGGCAAGCGCAGAACCCTATTTGGTCCAGATAAGCGCCGACCTATATATCTGCACTCTAATAATTGGTACGCTTTATGAACGATTCCAGCAGTATATATATTTATATGTATATGCTCACAGCAATGTTAACTTCTTTTTCCGAGAAACCAGCGGCTTCGGCCGCGTTCGCGACTTTTCGCCCGCCGTCGGCCGCTTAGCCACTGGCCGAGCGGTATTTCTGTCGGTGACATCATACATCCAGTCGGTGGTTCTGAGAAAGGGTTTCCCTCGTAGGTGACTCATTCCTTCTGTTTTCCTTCGCAAAGTTAGTCGACACTCGACACTCGAGCCCGTTTTTTTTGTGACACAAACGTTTCGGGAATCGCCCTATTGACGACGCGTTTCGCTTTATCACGGCCAGCTGTTTTGGAGTTTCCTCGATCAAGGTTAGCCGTGCTGTTATTAGTTTTGAAACAAAATGAAGTCCGATCTCAGCGATGGGATGTCGAATCACTCGGATTTCTCCAACGACAGCCAGAATTCGGTTTCCACCGCCGAATTCCTGGCCGGTACGGGGAACGGGATCGTTTTGGCCAATTCTAACGTAAGTACTAACTGGATTGTTTACGTTATTTGCGATCGTCGAGTATCCGACAAAATGTTAGGTTAGAATTCCACTGTTTTGTTTTCAGTTTCATTTACAATTTTTTCGTAAACGTCGAATTTGTTGAACGATACTTATTTGAGGAATAACAGAATGTTATTGGATTGGAATAAAAATAGTATAAATTGAATATACAGAGTGTCCAAAATAAAGTGTATGGTACCTAAATGATTATACAAGTTTCAGGACATGATATTTGTATCATAAACTCTTAGACCAACTTACCTTCATGAAAAATTTTTAAAACCACAAGGTGTTAATTAAAATAATGCAGTCGATAAATTATTTAGATGTCATTGGTTTAATTTTACTTATTTTTTTCCATTTTGTTAGGAGGGGATAAGATGCAAGTCACCTGTGTCCCCTCCATATTTTAATAACATGTTCCTGCCAACTAGGTTAATTAGAAATTAATGTAACCCTACTTACATTTTTTACTTTGGATTTCTTAAAATTCCTGAGCAAATTGTACTATTTTTATATAAAATCTCGAAATTAATTACACAATATAATTATTCAATATTTGTAGTTTGAAGTACAGGATGATCCAACTTCAGGAAACTATCTAATATCCAATCTAATATCTAATCATTAGGTAATTCATTAAAAAATTCCCGACTGTTCGTCTGAATCAAAAATATTTCGGCTTCCTATAAAACCTTATCAAATTGCTAAATTCGGAAATACCCCAATATTTTGTGAAGGTGGCTTCCAATTAAAAATAACCATGGTTCATAAGCGATTATCATTCTTTTATGTACCGAGCGAAATTGTAAGTGGTTCTTAAAACTGATAAAAACGGATCGTAATGCACGATAAGCGTGTTTGTTGTACCTATTTAATATCCTTTATGCGCGAATCGAGTTTAGGAAATTCCAAAACTTTCTCTGTATGATCATTGCCTATGTTTTTGATAAACCAATCTTATGATGAAACGACAAAGAAAATCTCACTACCCTCATTAAAATAATCTACAGGGTGTATCACCTATTATCAGGATTTTTTTTTTCAGTTTGCATACGAATCTAGAAAGAAGTAACTTTCCTCGTGCTAGTAGAAAATATTACGTTATTTGTGTTATTTTTTTCGTTACGTTACGCCCACCGGTTATTTTTTAAATTCTACGAAAGGTCACCGGTTAAAATGGTGTTTGAACTCTGGAATGGACGGGTACTTAAGCACAATTTTAATCTTTGCGTTAATGCATTCGGTTTGATACGTTTATGATCTTTCTTCATTTGGAATGAGACTGAAAAAAGAACGATAGAACGAAGTGAATTTGGCTTTTAAGAATGGAAAGTAATCCAAAGAGTGTGCATAATACACTGTATTTTTAATACACTTATTAACAAACGAGGAATCCTAAAATAGTTTTTCGTTCTAATGCAATTTTGTCAATTAAATTTATTGGTAATTACAATTTCAGTAAGTAAGTAATAATAAGTAATAAGGCGTTATGCAAGTGAAATTCTTCGCACCATTAAGAGGAGAGGTCATAAAATTAATACTCGATAACAATTTGAATAAATAAGCCGTTTTTCATTGTTTGTTGTGTCATTATGGAAAAAAATTCATCGTCAATATTTTCCCCGCGATGTATACAAAGCAGTACCTCTTAGCTTTTGTTTTCGTAGTCCTTTCAATGATAACACATTCCGAAAAAATTATTAATTAGTGAAATCATCTGTTCGTATTTTTTCAATACAGAACAGTCAAACCGTAGACCTTTCAAGAATGTTATGCGTTGAAAAAATAACAGTATCATCTATCTGCAGTATTTCAATCGCGTGCTAAAAAAACAATACATTTTCGCAGTTTTAAGACCTTACTCATGGCATAGACAATTTGAAAAATATGCTTTTTCTTGGGACCGAAATCTACAGAAAACGATAACCGATGATTCGTACCGGTAATTATTTTATGAAAGATCATTAGTTTGAACAATTGCCAATTTATCTCTAATTCCGTTAACGCACAAATTAAATGCGCTCGCATTTGATAAATTTATTCATCACTATAAAAACCCGGAATTTAAACCCCTTAAAAAACGCGCAACAGAATTTATTATCCTGTTTAGGTGCTCGTATCGGGAAATAATTGGAATAATTCACCGCAATCACCGGCGTCGCGGCGTTACCGTCCCGACGCCTAGACGATTTTTCCGGCGCCTCGACATCTCCTCATCGTCTAGTCCAGGTCGACGCGTCCACATCCATGGGGGCTTTGCGAGCTGTAGGGCGCCGTTAAGTCTTTTAGGGAAAAATCAATACCATCTAACTACGTTTAAAAAGGCTATAGCTCGGTCAAATTTAATCGTTTCAATGTGATAATTTAAATACTAATTTATGAATTTTTAATTACTATTTTTAAATCAATTTCGTAATTAGTGGTAGGTATATCTGATTATACGATATCTGATAGAGTTACGATAGAGTTATAATATAGATATATGTATATTTTTAATTAAACTGTCCTATGGCAATTGATTGAGGAATACACCAAATGATTTGCGTGACGATAATGGAAGAAATATTTTGAAAAACGTGGATATTTTGTGCGCATCATTATGTTATTTTTATTTATTAAATTTCGCATTGGCGACGTTTTACTGGACTAACAATGTGCGTCTAGTTGTAGGAAATACGCAGCACGGGGGAGTTGGAAGAGATGCTTGGGGTAGGCCCCGCCGTAAATTATCGGTTAGGGGTAGAAAAACAAAATAGGGGAGAACCGCGCGAATAGTTATGAAAGTATTATTCGTATAGCCGACTGAATTCGATGAAAAATGGGAAATGTCGAGTGTATTTTGATAACGTAATCCCGTATTTTTAGTCCAGAAGCGCGTTTGTCATCTCGCCCATAAATTAATTTAGCATTTATACGAAAATAATATAGTACAATGCAAATTTTTACATGCAGTTATGTTAGCGACACAATTTCCTAATGTAAATATAAACAACTTGATCGCGTAAAATTCGCTTCTCGAAACTCGACCCGAACCGTTAAAAAATGAAAACGTCCCAAAAATTAAAATTTTCGGATTTCTAAGAATTCGGAATTTTCTTAATAAATAACGTGCTATAGTTGGCTCCCCTCTCCTCCATTCGGACGTCACATTACGTTTTGATATACGTAAAATCGCACGAGTGGGACGGCGCAATGATTGATAAACAGCAGTGGAAGAGAGATCGACAACTGCCTTAGCCTTGCAAGTTTATAAAAGCTGTTTCGCGAAACCACTCTACACTTCGTTTGTTCTAGTAAACACGGCGATTTGATTGGCGCGTATCACTTGTTACTGATAAGTTTTTTTTTATTTGTGGTTTTCGTCAATTCGCTCAGAAAAAGACCGTTTTCGGAGACAGTTTTTGCCAACGTTTTGATTTCGATTGATTTACCTGTAAATTTCGCACGGAGAAACAGGCCTACTTATGTCGCAGTTAGTGCCGTTTTTAAATTTCGGTTTGGACTGTAACGCTGAGAGTGCGGACGACAGTGATTTTCTATATTCCTACGAATTCGCAGATAAATCGAAGATGGTAAGATTTTTTTATTCTGCCAAGAATTGTTACACGAAAATTATTACACAATTAGCCGATGACTCATCTTAATTTCGAACATAAAATTTGCATCACTTATGATAAGGAACCAGGCTTATTAAAATTTATTTAAATAGCAATTATAACAACTTATTACTTGTCAGTTTATTTAAAATGGTTTAAATCATTGTTACTGATAAGGCGATTTCTAATACAGGGGTATTTAGAAGTTGCATCCCATAATATTTACCAACCAGCATCGCGCAATTCTTATAATTTCTTAATATAAATAAATAAAATGTCTCAACAAATTCGTTGATATTAATATTGACCGTCTGCAGAGGTTAATAAAATAGGTGGCCGCACAATTTACATACAATAGCTGAAGCTCGACAGAAAAGCGGTTTACATATTTGTTGTAGCATACTAAGTGAAAATCGTAGTTAAATTTTTCTTTTGCGTATTTGCCTAACTACTACATTGCTAATCGAGAATTAATGTGCACAGGATAACAGTTTTATGCTAATTATCTGAAATATGATATCAAATTGCTAAGACACTATAAGGAACTGTTTTTCATTAAAAACAAAAATATTGTAACTTATAAATATTGAAATATAGTTAAATATATTATTCTGATCGATTCAGTAACTAATAAAACTTAATTAGTAGAGACTCGAGTGAAATAATGGACTTATAAATTCTGGATAAAAACTGGATAAAAACTCTCAATAAATTGCATCCAGATGCTAATTAAATAAAAAATTAGTTAACTGTAGCGAATTTCCTGTTTAAAAGCGCCACCTGCTCACAATATTCCGTCAACAAGTCGATTGTAAATTGTAAGTACGGGCTGCTCGCTCGTAAATTGCGCCCATGCCACACGCACTTAACCTTTCCCCGGTTCGTTCAATGGTCGAATCTCTCGAAATAGCCTCCCGAAACCTTTACGAAAGCCAAGAGACAAAGAATCGCTCCTTTAATTGCGTTCGTTTAGGTCCATTAATTAAACGTTAGAGAATAGTAAGTAAATGAGGCTTAATCAACCTGAACTAGTTTGTACCAGCTTTGTTTTCGTTTTCACTTCGCCGCACCCACGTTTTTTTTTCTGATAACCGTAGCGAATAGAGGCAGGTAATTAAAAAATGCAATATGAAATATACTGCTGTTCTACACGTATATGCTAAAAGGTCGATTAAAATGCCGAGTTTATTCTAAATGTGTGAATTGTTTTTTTGCCTTATTCTTCGGATCAATAAATCATTAGTTCTTTACATAATAAAGATGAATATAATAATTATCGTCTATCATACAGACGATGAAGGATTGCAGGCAATTTGTTACGATAATAGTGTAAAAAATAGCTTTAATCAAACAAAACACCGATATCGATATAAAAAA